CGGTCTCCGAGACTACGCCAATCCGCGAAAAACGAAACAATTGGTACAACAAGCCAAGTAGAAGGGGCCCAACCCAAATACGAACGAGCCACAATCAATGGAGATAGATGACACCAATCCAACAAAAACATCAGATAGTGACGACAAATTTTTCCCAGTAAATGAATGCGCCAGAGTGAAAAGGTTGCCAGACAGCGAGCAGGGGAATCAGCTAGAGCAAGAGTGGCTATGTTGGAGAATCAGGAAAAAGAATAAAACAGAAAGATTACTTACACCGGAAGAGCGGGAATAACACACCCAACCAACAGGAGGAGCAGAGTTCACTCCATTAGGACAAAATACCCCTCCCACTGCAAGTCAGGAAACATATAGGAGGAGCACGAAACCACAATCACCAACGCAGACGGAAAAGTAACCCGTCAAGAAAAGTGAGAAGTGGATCCAGGAAGGACAAAAAACACCAAAAACAGACAATCGAAATTACCGTCCAAGCAGGAGAAAAAAGAAGAAGATAGTTTTAACCTGGGGAAGCAGACACTCCAAAACGCAAAACAAACACAACAAACCAGATATTGCCAAGTGAATGGAATTCTAAAACACTAGTGCTCAGACGGAAAAAGAAAAAAGGCATAGAAAGACAAACGGACAAAAGTTTAGACTTGACCGCTATCGAACCGGAGAGAAAGCTCAGCAGGGCACTGGGACACAGATTCATAGCCACGGCAACCCGAAGAGATAAGAACCTCAGACCGCTAATGCCTTATTTAAAGTAGAAGGACTGGGATTCCATCAAACGAGCATATGGCGCGTATCTACATAACACTCGAAACCGCCTCAGCGTACGAGACGAATACCTAATTATCGATGACCGAATGGTCATACCAACTCAGATACGCGACACCGTGCTGAATAGCGTGCACCCTACGCACCCAGGGACAAATGCGATGTTGGATATTGCGGAGGACATTTGGTTCCCGCATATTCAGAGAGGAATAGTAGCAGTGGGCGAAAATGGCAAAGAATGCAAGGAACAAGGTAAAAGCTTTCAGTCTGTGTTAGGAAAAAGGCACCATGCGGAATTAGAAGGGGTAGAACCAAATGAGGAAGTTCAATTAGATATCGCTGGTCCGATGCCAGATGACTTGAACAAGGATGCTTATATACTAGTAGCAATCGATATATTTTCAAAAAACCCCACCACGAAAGTAGTGACAAAAACCACGGCGGGCTCAGCCATAAATTTTATGCAAAATTACATCATGAAAACGAAGTTCCAAGAAGGATTAGGTGTGACCTACTACAATCATAATGGTCTAAAAAATTAAAAGTATTTTGCAAAGACAACAACATCAAACGACTATTTGCACCAGTAGATGACCACAAAGCAATAGCACTCATGGAGCTACTTATCACAACTTCAAAACCACGTTTAAGGGTAATGAGAATTGACCCATACAATACAACAAAAAAACTGGCACCATAGCGGAACTAATCAAAACAGTAAAGATAACCCAAAACGCCGAGACCAGCTGTCAGCTTTCGAGATGCACATGGTTAGAAGACCCAACATTATAACATCAAACCTAGCATCTACAAGTAAACAAAGTAATCGAAGCTGGGACAATATTGAGCTAGCTAACTGTTTGGACAAAAAGAGACTTGAGAGACCGCCCTAACACCAGAACAAATGCATGACATAAGCGCAGGGTCAGAGGAAGAAATAGTGATCAAGCGTAGGGAGACTAGAAAACATCACCCTGACGTCATCGCCCTTGACAGCGACATGACGGAGGAACAGATGCGCATAATAAAAACTGAAATAAGGCATTCAAAACAAGCTAAAAGGGGTAGAAAACACCAGATCAAACTAGGAGAAAAGATCAAACAAGTAGCGCGAAAATGTTGAGGGTTGCACAAAAAGTAAAGAACCTCGAACAATTTTAACTGAAATACAAAACACATGAAGTGAAATCCTAGCAACCCATACGACGTGGGTTCAAACTGTCGGGAAACAACCTAGACTGTTACGGAACAGTGGCTTTGCATTTGTTCAAAATCAAAATTTGTATGTTAATTTTAGACCAACTCAACTAAGTGACTTCATGACTTCAAATAAGTCAGCAAAGTATAAGAAGAGCTACCGGTTCTTAGACAAAAAAAACTCCAAGGCATCCCATTTTCGTAGAAACAGGGGCAGTATAAGAAAATTGGCACGAACAAAAGGCGAGATACATATCAAAAGCGCAACAAAAGAAGAACAAGACAAACAAAGACACGTAGGTACAAGGGACCAGCAGTGGAAAAACAGCAGGGACAAAAGGTAGAAGGCAACAACAAAACCTTGCAGGCGAACACCAGGAAATCAGCAACACGACAACATGGAAGAAGAACATTAGGAAAACCAAAACCACGTGGCTTACAATTCGATATCCCCGCACCCTCCGCTTCGGATTCGGAAGTGTCCACCACTTCATCGGAGGGGTAAATAACACAACCAACAAAAAAGGGACACAAATAGAACACCTCCTCCTACCAGGGCATCAACCCGAACAAGAACCAGCACATTGACAACAAAATTTGATGATCCGATGCCAATAATACAAGTGAGAATAAAGAAAAAGCAAGTCCCAGAGCCATCACCAAGCCAGAAAGCGGTTTTCCTATAAACGTTGAGAACAACAAGAAGTCACCGATGTGGTAACAATTGCCACAAGCAGCGATTCCAGCCGAATTGAAAGAATACCGACAACAAAAGAGGGCGACAACAAGAATGCCAATCAATGCAGACGACAAAGAGAAAAAAAACAACACTGAAAGGTTGAAAAAAAAAGAGGCGAAGAGAGAAAAAGGGATAACTGAAGAAAATAACTACAACTATTCTTGTTACAACTGGGGAAATGTTATCCCTCCGGGTTATGTTTTTGTATCCGTTAAGTATTATTTTACATAAATGCCAGACTAAGTTACTTATTCGCAATTAATTTTATGTGTATAATTTTTAAAGAATGATAGGGAGAAATCTGTTTAATTTTTAGTCAGAAAGTGTTTATTTTTATCTGAAAGAGTGAACTTCAATCTATTGAGGCTCTACTGATTGAAAGTAAAAAATCAGAAGGAGAATTTTTTCTAGTAATTCATTCAACAACTGTTTTTTGTACAACAATCTCAATCACCCTTAATTTCTGTCTGATAAAGAACGAAATTGAAATATCCGCACAGAAAAAGCTCGGTTTTTTGAGATCTTAACAAAATTTCAACACCTTGCGCAATTTTTACACGTGTTTTTTAAAAGTGTTTGCAGTTTGTCCTCGACGATTTCAACTAGTACAACCATTCGTAGCTAATGATTTTTTCAACATAATATATACCTGATGAAAATTTTATTTTCAACACCCAAAACTAAATTGAAAATATCTGAGTTGAGTTATAATATTAGTAATAGTGGTAACAGAATTTTCCAAAGAAGATGATGAGGAAGTACTTGTGCAAAATTGTTTATGGATTAATTTTTTATCTCCAGGGAAGTACTATTTAAAATTTTTTTAAAATTTTTTTGGCAATTTTTATATCATCTGAAAAATAATCATGAAATTACTCGAAATTAAAAAATCAACTGCAACCGTTGGTTCTAAAGTTCTGAGATTTTGATCTTGGGAATTTGAAAAAGGGTTTTTAACGCGCGATAAAATTGTTTTATAAGCGCGTTCCTGATTGTTAACTCCGAATCAAAACTCAATGCAAACTGAATTGAGGTTGCTTTCTTGGTTTTTAAAACGTTACAAGACTCTTAATGCATCACTTTGTACAGTTCATAGTTTATGGCCAGAAATTTTTAAGCAAAATTCTTTTTGAAAGTTTGAGTAAAATTTAACAGTGAAAAACAAATGTCTCCAAAGAATTTAAATGTCAGGAACACTCAGGACCTCGCCCTATTACGAGTGGTATTGTCCCCAATATAATTTCAAAAGATTTTTCCACGAAAAAAGCTAAAACGTTATTTATGCATTTTTTTATAGCGAACCATTTTTGATTCTCCGGTTATGAACTAGGTGCAATTTTTGATTATTTTTCCGGCTTGGATAATGTTGCCTCACTCTGAAGCAACAAGAACGGATCATGGTGGTCATCAAATATCCGAATTTTTGATGAGCGGAGACAGGCTCTTCATAACCTTTCCTTTAACACGTTCGGCCAACATTTAAACCAGCAAGCAAAAGTGAGTTTTTGTTACTTTTGTCCATAGTATGTTTTCATTTTTGTAGATATTTTGGTTGTTGTTCACAATTTTCTGATTTATGTCAAGTCTTTCATGACTTTTTTTCACATTTCTTGACAAGTTTACTGTCCATAGCGACTACTGTCCGGTCTATCACGAGTAACATTCTCACTATCGCTTTCGTGACCATGAGAAGCTATACGTCCTAATATTTACCGCCACCATAAAGAATAGCTTGACTATCAATTCTCGGTCCCTAATTGTCATTCACTGAGACTTTGGAAATCTGGATACAAATCGCATACTCGGGAAACAAATGGAGATATTCATACAAGGCCAAATATCAACAAATTTCGTTTAAATGGTGTTTTTTTACTGGTATTCTGCCAATTCAGTAGCTAAACTGTGCAGCTAGGGTTATAAACTCGTTTAAACCAAAGCACTTGATTGTTGATTTGATGTGATTGACTTTAAAGTTGACTAAAAAGTATGAAACTTAATTTTTCCACCACTTTGGAAATGATGAGTTTTATATGGTTGAAGGCACAAAGATAAAAAGTGTGAAATTCGATCAGTTTTGCAATTAAGCACATACGGTAATTGGGCACTTCGATATAATGAAAAGCCTTTCAGCGAAAGACAAAGAGAAGTCTCCGAGAACACCTGAAGTCTAGTATTTTTCTGATTCAAAAAGTTCAGACTAGATTCGGTCATCGCTTTTCTTAGGCCATTCTTAATTTAGATGATTGCTCTTTTTGACGTAATACTTCGTCATTTTGAACAGCATCTTTTATTAAATATTTACTGAAACCAAACATTGTGTAGTTTACGACAGACTAACCTCAAATACACACTACACTCTACAAAATTATTTCAGTTAGCAATTTTTTTTAGTTCACATCAATAGTGCGTATTGGAATCTATCATTACTTGTGTTATTGGTACCTTCAAATTGAACCATCTGTTACACAATATTTTTCCTTTTGTTAGTGTAATAATTTTTTCAATTTAAGAAAACTCGATTTCACATCAGATAATAGCTCTGAAACTTGTTTAAAAATTTTCATATTTAGTTCTTAGATCATTTTAAAAACTTTGAGGCGTTTTTTTGATATCCAATACCCAATTTTTTGACATTTAACAAGTTTTGGACAAACGTAAGTATATATCAACTTAAAATTTCACTTATAAAACGCCCGAAATTATGAGTTCGGTTGCATCGCTGTTAAACTCATGGCATTTTGCTAGCGTTTTGCCCATGATATTTTGAATGTCAATTATCAAATCTCTTAGAATCTGTTTTTTTTTGCAAATTTTTGTCGAATACTAAAACCTTAGACAAAAAAAAACATTGAAAAAATGTCATATTTTTGTGACAGCAATTTGAATTGGAGCTTCAGACATTCTTGACATATCTTGACAAACGTTTTTGATCAAAACCTGATATCTGATCTGGCGAATCCTTTGGTATTAAATATGTCAACTTCTTAGTTCAATAAGTAGGTTTTTTACGAGCTTTCCACAACTTCGTTATACAATCAAAAAAAATCGAAAATGATCCTACCGCAGGTTGCATGAACAAAAGAAAGTATTTGTTCAAGTCTGTTCACATTTCACTCTGCCATATTTTTGAGTGAAATTTAAAACTAAAAAAAATGTTTTTAAATAACATTTACAGTGCCCGAATTGAGGCCCGCGACGTATGTTCAGACTTTCGAATTGGCGCCGACGTTAATCCCTCAACCGAATTCATTGTTCGGAAAGTTTTTAGAGTCACAGACACAGTCTAGAAATACAAAACTTCGATTGTCTGAGAGTTAGTCGCCATAATCTGTAAATATTTCGAGGCGGTTTTAAAAATAGTCGCAATGTTCTGAAATCGAGTCGCAATCAGTCTGCACATAAGTCGCGGATTTGGAAACCAAACATGATTACAAAAAAGCGAATGAAGCAATATGTGATAATCATTACTAGGGGGCATCACAATAATTGAGTTTGAAATATCATACAATAAAGAAAAAAGAACAGAAAATAAAAACCAAATTTTCTGAGAAGCAACAAAGTTTTCTTACATTGAAACACGTATTGCTAAGCCTTATGGTAAAAAAATGTCAGGTGCCCAGCAGAAATTAAATATCGTTGACTCTACGTTGTACAAAATATGTAGTAGAAAAATTGAAACGGTCGCAGTACACTTTAAACACTTTTCTTAGGATCACGGAGATATTTTGATCCTACTTTCCTAAAAAAATGTATTTTTCTATAAAATATAATATTGGTAGTATAGAGAGCAGTAAAAAACAGAAACAGACAGAATGACATTTATCAGAATAACTTTGTCTTTTCCATTTTTTTTTGCATCTCTCTCGTTACATAATATAGTTTTGCTATAAGTTCTATCGAAGTTCTATAAAATTTAATTGTTCACATTGTTGTTCTGAAAGAAACTATTCAAGTTCAAGGTCATGAACTCAATTCTCACAAAGCTAGCCAACTTTTGTTGACAGTGTTGATTTACGGTCCGATTATATTTTAGACATATTTCGTCTAGTTATCTTGGAAAAGGGCGGATGCCAAGTGACAGCCAACAAACAGTAGAGATACATCAAATAGCTGAACATCTTCCATCAGAACCTAATTCAGGTATCGAATTCTTTTTTCTCTTGTATGAGTTATTCGTATGTTAGTCGACTAGACTCTTTTTCAGATGCCCTTCCATGTTTTCTGGAACTCCATTTTCAAAAGAATTTTTAATATCAAATTTCGTTACTAAGGCTCTGTTCCACTTTCCCTGAGTTTTCAAAATTTCTGATTTTTTGTAGTTGTACGTGATATTATGGCTAAACGCGTGATGTTATTATGTCAGGTATAAAGAACAAATCTGTTGACAATTGGTAGTTTTTTCATCCTGCCGAGTTTCATTGCAATATGACACTGTTAAAGTAGTTTTCAAATTTAAATTGAAAGGTGGGGTGGGAGATGGTTGAAAAAAGCCGCGTCGGATGTTTTCATTTTACCGTCCCCTACCCTCTAAAAAACGCTGACATCGGCTCTTTTTCCTTTTCCCCCACCTCACTCAAACATGAACTTTATGGCCTAGCGAGTGGTTTTACAAGGTTAGTTTTGAAGACCAAATATGGGAAGAAAAATAAAAAGGGGAGAAAAATACGGGGAGAAAAATAAAAAGAGCCCAAACATCATATTAAGTACTATACCATGTTATTTTGAAGACTGTAAATGAAGAATAGCTATGATTGAAATGGGCTGTTCAGTGACCATATCAATTCAATTGCCGGCTTTTTCCTTTTCCCTCACCGGCAAAAAGTAAAAGTTTTGTTCACATTCTTTATTGTTATGAAAATTGATAGACGAACTAATAAGGCAACGACAAACATATTGGTCTTCATACTTAACCTTTTAAAACCTTTCGTTACACCATAAAATTGGTATTTATGTGAGGTAGAAAAAAATCTGATATAATTTATATCATAAAATCCAAATACAAAAATTCATAGGAAAAACTTCATTTTTCGTCTGTGCTGTGAAACTTGAATGAAACATTCTTGAAACCCTAAAAAACTAAGAAATGTTCTGGCGATTTGTAAGCTATTGAAAAAATGTGGCTTTTTTTCTTCGTCGCCACCTCGCACATAAGCATCTTTTTTTTATGCAACGAGGGGTGAAAGAGCCAAAGATGTTTTTGTTTTATCAGAAGAAAGAGAAGACTGGCTACTAGTCGACAAGAATCAACACCAGAACAAATCTGCACGTGACGACAAAACTACTACTACAGGAAAGTCTGAAAAACTAAACTCTCGGGAGAGAAAGACTTCGGCATCCAGAACCACTTTGGACCCCAGTTTGGTGTTTGAGATAAAAAGTGAAACACAATTTGAGGCATCCACGTCCAGTGCCGAGATGTCGACAAACGAAGAAAAAGGTGACCAGAGCTACTTTTTCAATAATGAATTTCTACGTAAATTCGGTAAAATAGAGAAAAAATATTGAGGAGACTACTTCCTCCTGTTTGCGTGGATACATGCAATGTAGCGCAATGCGATAAATGGCTTCACCAGCCCCCCTCCCTTCACACGCGCACACACACCGCCTTACTAACAAAAACTGCTTATAAGTTTGCGAAAAATCAAAAGAGTAACTGAAAAAAAAAAACTAGCAACACACCCTCTCCCTCCTTCTCCTGAACTGAACTAAAACAAATCAGTACTGACAGCAGGTAAATACTCAATTCTTTTCCAAACACACCCCCCTACCCCCTATATGAGTTTCAGGTTTGAAAAAATATTTTCACGTTGTCATAATGTAATGAAATTTTGCATGGTCAACAAACTAACTATTGTGAACACATTTGTTCTCCATACTTTACTTCGTAACATCACGTCTTCAGCCATAATAACACGTAAGACAATTTTAAAAAAAGATTATTTGAAATGAGGGAGAGGGGGTGGAAAAGAGCCAACGACGCTAGTTGGAATGTTTATATTTTACAGAGGAGGCAGCCCTGCAGAGCACCTATGACGCAATTGAGGACAGTTTGTACAAAGAGATAGACAGAGACACCTCCACAGGGTCGGGCAAGAGGGGCGTGCACTTGGGCAACTACCGCATGAAGGAGAAGAGTGAAAAGGTCACTGTCAAGGACGCCAACGTTTCCAAGCCACAACACACCACACAGACAACAGGCACCACTACATCATCCTCAAATTCATAAAAATCTTCAGCATCAAGTAAGTAATCAATCGATTATGATAGCCTTATATGATTATTTCGTAAGCAAAACGTAATATCCGGAGACTTTTGGCAAGCTATTGTGCTCTTTTCCACTCTCCGCCATATTTAAACGTGCCCTTCCCCCCATCTCAAATAAGCATCAATTTCATACGGTAACTAGGGGTTTTAAAACATTAAATATGAAGACCACATATGTTTAAAATGGCCTAATTAGTCCGCATGCCAATTTTCGTAACAATAGGACTATGTGAACCGGAAGCGTTTCTTTTCTTTTCCCCATCACCTACCTCGCATGAGCATCAACAGGGGGTTTTATATTTGTATAACAGGGGGTTTTATATTTTACGAGGTTAAGTATGAATGCCAAATAGGGTGGCAATGTTTCAAAACAAGGGTGTTTTAAAACACTTGTTCTTTTTCAATGTTTTTAACATATTTTTCTGCCTCATTATGCTTTATATGTACCTCGTTTGGCTCTTTTTACTCCCCCCCCCCACCAAATTTTATTTGTAAAAATTATGTTCACTTTGTTCGATTGTTATGAAAATTATCATACGGACTAATTAAGTTATGACAAACATTTTGGTTTTCATAATTAACCTTGTAAAACCACCCGGTCCACCATAAAATTCATGTTCGTGTGAGGTGGGGGGAAAAGGAAAAAGAGCTCCTCGTTTTACTAAGACTCACAACTTGCTATGAACAGTTAAAATAGCAGGTGTTATGAAAATCGATTTGGCTTACCTTTCCCCTTTCCTTCAAATGCAAGGCCCTTGTCCCGGGTTTGACTCTTTTCCAATCCCCCCACATTTCTGAAATTCAAAATTTGAAAGTCTATTTAAAATAGCTTTTCATGTTACAAACTGCGTTAAAACGTGTGAGCGTGAACAAGTGAACAAATTTGTACAGCATTCTTAACATGCAAAATGCCATGTGAACAATTTTTGAAATTTTTTATTTTGTAACTTACGAGGGGGGTGGGAAACTGGAAAAGAGTTTCGGGATTTTTCCATTAATGAGATTGATTCGCGTTCACAGCGATAGGTAAAAATATCAAAACCTGGGCTCTTTTCCAGTTTCCTACCCCCTCGTAAAGTTTCAAAATAAAGCTAATCAAAAATTGTTCACACGGCATTTTGCATATAGAAAAAAACTTGTGAAATTTTGTTCACCTGTTCACGCTGACGCGTTTTAATGCGCTTTTTAAACATGAAAAGTCATTATAATTAAGTTTTCGTTTATTAAATTTCAGAAAAATCAAAGGGGGTGGGGTGAAACTGATTAAATTTCCGAAAAAATCACAGGGGGAACTGGAAAAGAACCAAAACTTGCCCTCTATTTGAGCATTTGACGAATTTTCAAAAAAATTCAACACTTAGTTTTTATACATGATTTAAAACAATTTCAAAGGATTTGTATGTTTTTTATCAAATTAAAACACTTTGGAGGCCACCCTGATACCAAATGTGTGTTGTCATTTGCGGATTAGACAGCCTGCCAATTTTTGTAACAATCCGACGATGTGAAAAATTAACATCATAAATGAAGTTTTGTAGGTGAGGATGGGGGGAGGGAAAAAGAGCCCAGAATAATGAGCTATAAAATAACTCAGGTTGGTGGGTGAAAAAACAGCCAAATTTTTGGCAGCTTTTCTTAGGTCAACCAAATTGAGCACTCCTGTTTTCAAATTTTCAACTTCTGTAATTGTTGTACGTGTTATTATTGCTAAACGCGTAATTTTACGATGTAGGGTTTGAAAAACAAATATGTTGACAATTGCTAGTTTGTTCACCATGCCATGTTTCAATGCAATATGACACTGTTATTATCCAAGCTCGGCTCTTTTTCCTTTTCCCCCCACCTGCAAATTTTTACATGTTAATTTGTTGACCAATTTGTCGGATTGTTATGAAAATTTACATACAGACTAATAAGGCCACGACAAACATATTTGGTCTTCGTACTCAACCTCGTAAAACCACTCGTTACACTAAAAAATGAAGCTCGTGTGAGGTGGGGGGAAAACGAAAAAGAGCCCCAAGCTCTCCCAAATCACCATAATAACCCTATTTTGAACAAATTTAGTGTGCTGCAGGCAAATAATTTAAAAAAGGTCAAAAAAAGGCGCCCTCTCCCCCCCCCTTTGAGTTTCAGTTTTTGAAAAACTATTCTAACGCTGTCGATAATGCACTGAAAAGGTTGGGGGAAGTGGAAAAAAACCAAGGCGTTTAAGGCACTTTTTGAAAAGATTGACCAATGTTTTTTTTTCGGCGCGCGCTACACCCTTAAAATATATTTCTGCGCCGAAAATGCGAAAAAAATCATTCTCAGGTTGTATTGCCGCTTCCCTAGCACAGCCATTTTCTGTGTTTCTAACTTTAATGGTCATCAAAATTGGCTGCATTACGCAACTACAAACGCATTTTGTACTCAAATACAATTTCGGATATCAATGGTTACAGTATAAATTAAAATGATGCTTATATAAAAAAATGACATCTTGGAGGGAAAATGAACAAAAATGAGTCCTCCCGTTTGACCCTTAACAAATAATAGCCCCCATAAAACCTTAGCATCAATGACTGTGGTTTTTAATTGTTTTTAAACAGGTGTAAAGATTTTTTTTTGATATCGAAATGTTGCAATAAATTTGATATGACGCAGCGTCAAAAAAGTCTCCACCCCACCAAGAAAAGATCCCCAGGAAAAATCAAAGTGTAGGCGGCCTAAAGATTTTTATTGCTGTGCTGGGGGGGGGGGGGGGTAGTATAATGGGACAGACCTTAACTTTTCAGGGGATGCTTAAAACTTTGGCTTGATCATCGTGAAAAAATGTATCGTGTAAAGGTGCGCTCAAACTTCTACCTTGATGACTTCAAAGGCGTACCGTAAACAAAACGTTGTCATCAATAGACTATTGTTTAGAAGCGGTTCAACAACAGACAGAAAAGAAAGATGATAAACAACTATCACGACATGCAGTATGCCAGAACATATGGGTCTTTGAACTGTGGAACTGTATAGTAAATTAGTCTGTAATAATAGATAGTCAAAACTCATGAAAATAAGGTTTCATATTATGAAAATGCGGCATTTTTTCAAAGATTATTAGCCGAATAAGTAAAAACATCGTTATCGTTAAGTATCCACACTAATTCAGCTTCAACTAATTGATCGGGTCTTTTCTGTTATACGGCCCTAAATTGCCAAATTGTTCGTTGAGCTTCTGTTTTTAATGAAAATTCTGATTTTCTTTTGCTGTTAATAGTTGTTAACAATTTCAACCAATCAGATTCGAGAATTATGATGCAATTTTCAACATAGCAAAAAATGGGTTTCCTTACAAAACAGAAAAAACCCAATTGATCTAATTTGTTATTATAACAGAAAATGTCGCATTATTATGGTGCTTGATCAATAAGGGCAGGTGAATAAAAAAATTCAATAGTTTTACCTTGGCTTATGTCTTAAAAAGTATTCTTCAACTTCAAATCCCCAATGGAATGTAATTAAGAAATAAAAACGAATTTGATCCAAAAAAAATTAGGAAAATTTTATCGTGACAGCATAAGAAGACGGAGAACGATTTGGCGTTCATCAAAAAAATAATAATGGAAACAAACTTTTTATGAGTTGTCAAGAGAAGTGGTCTTTACGTGTATGTTAAATTGGTGAGGCGCTTTTCTAGATTTCCCCTCCCCTCATACAATTACAGTGTAGATTTGTCTAAAAAATGCTCATACGATAATTTACTCACAAGAAGTATTGTATTCACAATACCTTAAAATACAAACACAATTTTGTATTTGCAGCCAATAGTTTTCGACGCTTAATTTTTCTTCTGCTTTCAATTTGCTTTCAGACTCTTGAAAGTTACACTAAAGAAGCAGTTTGCACGACAGTGGGTTCTAAAGAAACTTAAGGGAAAATCAGCCAAAACCATTAATACAACTGATAACTTCACCCATCCTCTTTCTTGGGAAAAATCAATCAAACTACACATTGATAAGCCGCAACTAATATCCATATGATCTAGTCTCAAGCTCACCAGCAGAAACTCCAATCAGTATATTCTTGTTTTTAGGAAAGCTGAAACACGCCAACAAGATACAAAACTTGGCCTTGAATCATCATTGTCTCAAGTTTTGTATCTTGTTGGCGTATTTCAGCTTTCATCAAAACAAGAATACACTGAGAAGATTTAATGTTTGTGAGCTTGAGACTAGATCAAGTATTGAATTTTTTAAATTGATATAATTATTCAATTTAATTGCTGCGACTTATCATTGTTTAGTTTGGTTGACCTTTCCCAAGAAAGAGAACGAGTCTAGATTTCTGTTTTCTCATTGGTTTTGGCTGATTTTCCAAAGTTTTTTCTAAAACCCAATGTAGAGCAAGCTGCTTTATCAGCGCAACTACCAATAGTCTGAATGCAATTGATTGCAAAAAATTACTTTGTAGTGTCAAAAACTATCAAGCGCAAATATAAAAGTGTGCTTGTTTTGTATTGTGAATAAAATACTTCTTGTAAGGGAAGATTTGAGACAATAGCGCAAGGAAAAGGTCCAGAATCAAGTTGGGACCATCTTTGCGATAAGTGCCAATGAACAAAAAGAAGAGACTTAATTTGGTGTTGTAGCAATTAGCAGAAACGTCCAAAAATTTGTTCACGGAGACATGTGACTGTTTTGGGTTTTGATGTTTTTCAAGTTCAAATCATACTCATTTTTTGAGTAGCATGAGGGCAAATTACGCTCTCTAGAAAATTGCTCCTGATTATTTTTCAGCTTGTTTTTTTTCGGCAAATAATGTAGTTTGTTCACGTTTAAATTAGATTTTTTCGTGATTTGACTTTTGATTTTTCTCAATTAGTTTATTTATTTTTTAAAAGAACGACAAACTCCACTATCGGAGAGCAACAACGTATTATAAAAAAATTTAAAAAATTGTAATTGACATCTACTTTCAAAAGGATTTTGAAAATTCAAATTTCTCAGCGGATAACTTTACCTCTTACTCAAGTTTTCTCGAAAATGGTTAATTTGCCATAAAAACGTCAATTATAAAATTTTATAGGTTTCCTTGAGTTTGCTGACTCTTTTCAACTGTATGTTGCTGTGTTTATTAGATTAAGGATAGAAACTGGTGCATGATGCATAGCAGTATATCACTGGCATAGATCATAAGCGTTGCTGAGTGAATCGAATCAAGCGTTCGCTAATTTTCAATCAATGCAAGTTAAAGGGCAGTAGCACAGTAATTTGTTCCAACTTAGTGTTTCAACTTTCAGAAATTATTGGTGCCAGGTATGGTTTTTTCTTCAATTTAATTTTGACTTTATAGTCAAGCTCAAATTTAAATAACAGTTTTTTTTAAACCTTATCGCTATCAACGTCCGCGTTGAAAACATCTTTGATACTTATATTTTTTATAGGAAAATTTATTTGCGAAAGAAAAGAGTTCTCTTGAAAATTTGGTAATTTGTAAAAGTTTTCACCCTTAAAGTTCAATTTTTGTTTCAACATTTCAAGAAAGCGTCAGAAGTTTTGTGCACGGTTTGGATCTTCAGAAAATTTTTTGCTTTTTATTAAGAATTTTTTTAACGGATATTTTTATGAATACTGTTTAGGTAAACTGAGAACAAATTGCAGTCGTACGTTGAAAATTGTGTCATGAACCATGACTGCAGTGCAGGTCAAATTTTAAGTGGACCAAAGGAAATTAAATTGCAACTAATTGGAATGTTAAGAATCATTTATCAATGAGTTGGAATACTCAAAAATAAATTTCAATATTTGTACATTTAATTGTAAGCACGAAATTTTACTCTTGGTTAACAAATTTTGACACGAGATTATTTTACAATTTTTTTTGTTGATTTTCAAAAACAACTGGTTTTTTATAGGTAATGCGGGTCTTCTCGCTGGGGTGTCACTAAATTTTTCAATTTTGAAATATGTTCAGTTTCTTTTTTGGTAAAAGGGTAGTGGAGAAGAGGTGTTTGTTTTTTACAAATTTATGTTTATCTTGTGTTTCTAAAACTTGTGTTTCTAAAAAAACACTTGCAGGTGATTTTGGGATTTTTCAACCTGGTCTACGTTATAGATGCAAAAGTCAAATATTGAATGCAAATATTTTTATATATATATTTGAACACAAAAGCAAGTTTGCAACCAAAAAAGGGATAGAAAAAACTTTACGTCAAATTGTCAAATTTGCATTTTTATCGAAAAGTGCATATCATTCAGTTTGCAACAGCACAATTTAAATTATGCAACAAAGTAAAAATAAGTATGCAACAGCACAATTTAAATTTAAAGAACGCATTATATGTGTAAAGGTAAAAAAGAAGTATAAAAAAATTTTCACCAATCTGGGTCGTCTCCGAAAAAAATGATAGAAAAATTGATTTTTAGGCACCGTCATAAAAAATAGTTTTGCTGGAAAACAGTTTTTTCCCAGCTGAACATCAATTTCAAACAAAAAAGCAACATCATCTTAGATCTTTGTTTTTTTGTGCTTGTCACACAAGTTCTTTCAAAATTTTTGCGGGAAACTGAAAAAAAAAACGCCAAAACAATCGCGGTTTCTTTCTGTCATTTCAAAAAGAACGCGTAGCAACCAAACATTTTTCAATTTTTTTACAATAAAATAGTCGGCTCTTTTGTAGTCCCCCCTTTTATTTTTTCTGAAATTCAATATATGGAAATCAATTTAAAATGATTTTTCGTAATATAAACTGCATTAAAACGTGTCAGCGTGAACAAATGAACAAATTTTTACAACATTTCTGAAATGCAAAATGCCTAATTTTGTAATTTTCCCAGGGGGGTGGGAAACTGGCAAAGAGCCAAATTGTTTTTATGATACGTTAACTTAGCCAAAAATTAATCGTATTTTTCTTGTTTTTCTAATTTTATAAATGGTATGAAAACGCAAGCAGTTTACTTTCGTGCTCTTGTTTTACTGATTTGGATCTTAAGTTTAAGTGCACAAGAGTATTATAGAAAAGATGGAGCTAAAAATTTTTGCAAATACGCACCATTGGAATATCAACTCAATGACTACACCGCTCAATGCCCAAAGGTTAAACTGTTTGCACGCCCCCTGCGTGAAATAAAAGCATGCTGTGAACTAAATCCCCCCGGAAAGGAAAGAGTTACCTGTCTGGACAAGCTGCGAAGGAAAGAACTCGACGTTACAAGGTTATTTAGGCTCTTTTCCACTTCCCCCACACATTTAAAAATTTCTGTTTTGATCGTCTTTTACTTGTTATTATGACTGAATTCGTGATGTTGTATAAAGTTGCTCACAATGGTTAGTTTGTTCAGCATGGAAAATTTCCTTGCATTTTGACAACGCTGGCTCTTTTCCAGTCCCCCCTTTCAAAGTCAATTTTGAAAAGCTTATTTAACGTTGTCAAAATGCAATGAAATTTAGTGTGGTGAACAAACCGACATTTGTGAACAGATTTGTTCTTCATACTTTGCAGCGTAACATTACGCATTTAGCGGTAATAACACGTAAAACAAACATAAAACTCGGAATTTTAAAGGGGGGAACTGGAAAAGAGCCTGCAATTCAAATAATGGGGAGGGGGTAGAAAAAAGCCATTTTTTTCAGTCACAAACTTCATTGAAAAAATCTAAATTTGCATTTTTTTTGGTTGTTCATGCAATAACTTGTTTTGGCATTTTTTGTAAATTAAGCTCTCCTCGATTATATAAATTGGGCTCTTCTCGCCCGAACCATATTCCATAGCCAATCTTCATCTCTTAAAACCTAGCATGGTTCTTGTCAAAATGCATGTTTTGTATTATCAATATTTTGTAATTTTTTTGCAAAATTGTGAAAGATAACTCTAATTCAAGACAACCATCGAAGTTGAAAGTAAACACTTTTTTTAAAATAATAATTAATATTATAATCATAATAAAGTGTTTTCTAACCTAATGTTACCAATCAAAGGGTTCTTATATACTCGCTTACAAAGTTATAGCTTAGGAGGACGCCCGGCTCTTTTCTAGTTCCCCCCTTTCAAAATACCGAGTTTTATTTTTGTTTTACGTGTTATTACGTCTAAATGCGCTATGTTAGGTTGTAAAGTATGAAGAACAAATCTGTTCACAATTGTCGATTTGTTCACCACGC